CCGGGCCGGGCCACGACGGGGCGGCCGGGCCGCGGTCCCGCCCGCGCGGGAGGGCCCGGGGATGCTGCGGCAGCCCCTCCTTCCCCAGGGACCCTCCGCGCTGCGCGCGCCCTCCTCCTGCCGGCCCCGGGGGCGTCCCCRGGGCGCTCGGTGCTCGCCCCACAGGCCAGCACCCACGTGTGGACCGGGCTCGGCACCCGCCTGCCGCGGGACCCCCACGGGGTCCCCAACCCCTTCCCCCGGGGTTCGGCACCACCGGGCTCAGGCTGCACCGGAGGCCGCCGCATCCCGGTGCTCGGCAGCGGCCTCCACGCGGGCGTTTCGGAAGGAGCGAGGCCTGGGGAAAGCGGAGCGGCTAACGCAGTCTTAACGCGGCCTGGAGCGGAGGGATGCTCCCCAGGAAGGCAGCAGGGAGCCCCTCACACTTGTGTCCGGCCCYGCCAGACACCGTCAATGAGAGCCCCTGGCACTGCGCGTTGCCCCCCATGCCGGGAGCCAGGGCTGGAGATTGGGGGCAGGTCCCAGCTCCCAGGGAAAGGCGTGGGAAGGAATGTGCTCCTGCCCACGCTGAGCGCGCGTTGGGATTCCCCTGGCAGGCGCTCAGCAGCGCCGCTCTGCCAAGCTGCCCCCGGGCACGGCGCTGGCTTCCCGCTCGCGCCTTCCTCCCGTGGCAGGCGGCCGGCRCACGAGGCCGAGGCGGCCCACGGGCCGCAGGCACGGTGTGCACGGCAGCGGAGGAAGCCAGCGAGGAGTTAGGGGCTCAGCCGCCCTGTTCTCGCYTGGAAAAGGGGGGAAGCACAGGGCACTCTGCCCTGCTGCGAATTGCGGCTGGTGTCAACCAGGCCCATGGGCAGTCTGGCACTGGCAGCTCCAGGGTTCYCTCCTTTAAGCGGCAACAGGAGCAGAGCTGCAGGTGGCCTGGGGCAGGGCAGGGCAGTGTGGTGAGTAGCGCTGGGCGGCTTCCACCTCTGTTTAGGGAAGCCCCAGGGACAAGGAAAGGCAGGCCCCTGCAGCCCTGCGAGCAGAGCTTGGCCTCTGGGCCAAGTCTCCCTGACCCGAGTCTTGCATCCCCTCTGCAACACAGGCTGCCGCCGTCCCCTCCCCGCTGCAGGCAGCGCTTCCTTCCCCTCCACCCGCTCCCCTCCTCCAGAGCACTGGAGGCAGCTGTTGACCCAGTCCCAGCCAAGGAAGCAAACCTTGCACAGGGAACCGGTTCGGGAACACCCAGAGCCACCTTGGCTCGCTCTCGCCCTTGACGCAAGGCCAGGTGACGTGTCCAAGCGSTGCTGGGGCCCTGCAGGAAGCAGTCACCGCTCCTGCACAGGAGCGGCTACGGGGAAAACCTCTCTCTCTGCACACAGCCCAGCCCTGGATGGTGCTTTCTGGTGTGTGGCTGGGGCAGAGGAGAGGGGTTTCCATGCCACCRTATGTGGTGGCACATGTGGGAGGTGTGAGCGGAGGCCTGCACTGCTGCTGAACTTCTCCAGGCCGGGGCCCCGAACAGCTGCTGCAGCAGGAGAGGAGCCCCGGGGACCGACTAGTTAAAAAACAGGCTTTTATTCTTTGTGTGCTGCTCACAGYCACAGCGCCGAGACAGGACCGGGCTCCTGCCAAAGTGATTATGAAACAAATCAAGTCCCAGACTCGGGCCTCGCTCTTCCCCACCCCCAAGAGAGTCAACATTGTACAAAACTCTTATTTACAGGGAAAACAGTCAAAAAATGGTGAGTCTGAAAATCCCTTCCAATTCAAAATGAAATATCCAAGACGAGCGTGACAGTCGCACGCAGCACCCACAGCTGGGCTTCCCCTTCGCTATGGGGAGGCCAGATCCTCTCGCTACCGACTACTCGAATGAGCCTGGCAACCCTGCGTCAGCCTGGGCCCTTTCCCCAAAAAAGGGTGGGAAGCTCCAAAACCTCGGTGCAGCACAAAAGGCTTTGGATTCCCTCCTTTCCCAAGGGGGAAGGGAGCCACAGACCTGAGATGGGGCTGAGGGGCAGCGCTGCCCCCCGGACAGGCGGCTGGCTGAAAGTCAGGTCAGGAGCCTTCATATAAGCAGTGGGATTTGCTAGGAGACCTAGTTTCTGATGCTGCGTTTACAGGTATCACGTTACTTTGGGACATAAACCAAGAGGAACAAACCAATATTTTAAAAAGGGAGAAAAAAAGCACACATTCCTCCTTCCAACTGGACTTGGAAGAGCATCCATAGGAACCCAGCAAGAAGCTCTGCTGCTGCCAGCTGCCACTTAGAAAGCRTAACGTGTGCGGATGTCTTCCAGCTTCTTGGAGACCTCTGGTGGGGTCCGGTCCAGCTCTTCGGCCACATTCTTCTGCTTGTTAGGCTCCATGGAGTTAAACTGCTCACACAAGTCCCCATCGATCACATTCTGGAGGGGCAAGGGAGGAGAGCATTCAATCAACACAACACAGAGGCACTGAACCCTACCTAAATGGGGAAAAATGGCAACAAACAGCTTGTTCCCAAAAGCTTCTTAATCCCATCCTGGAAACAAGACCATGCTCAGTGACCTCATCTGGTGAATAGCAGTAGTTAGTGTAAAACTTAATTACTGGCTGGCCCGATTAATGAAGGAGAAATCCGGAAAGTCTGGGTTCAGCTGAAGAATCACAAGGGAAGGGAAGACAGACCTGAGAGGCCAGTGAGCCTCAGCTAGCCCAAGGTCTAAGCATGGTGCTGGGGATGCTGGAGGACGAGGCCAGTAGAGGTGAGCAGAAGGCCAGCRCCTCCAGTCAGGTGTCAGAGGCTTCTGAGATGCTACAGGTGGCAGATCAGCCTCAAGGCCACGGAGAACAAGATCGTGTTTGGACAGTTTCAGTTGCTAGAAGAGTTTTCTGACTGCTACCGTATACACTAATGACTCTGCCTGCAGCACTTGGCAGTCAAGAGCTCTGAATACCTCCTCAAAGTAAGAAACAGCTATTCCTGCCTACTGCCGATGAGATTTAGAATGATTTAGATGAGAAAAGCTACTTAGTTCCTTTTCTGATGGGCAAAGTGCTGCCCTGCTTGCCAGAGCTTCTCTTGGAACAGCACCTCTGCGTCTGGGTCTGGATCTGGGTCTCAAAGCCAATCCTCAGAAGACTCATTACAAGGATTAAGAAACCAAAACAGATGCTGCAGTAGGCACTCCTTTAGAGAGTGCAGCTCGAACCCCAACTCCAGATACRGCCATAGTTGCTCTATCCCCTTTGGTTTACAATACCCAATCTTCCCCAATTTGCTTGTCCATGCGCTCACATCCTACCTTCACGGGAAAGTAGTAGGAGCGGAAACTGAGGTGATCTCGGCCACAGAGAGGAGGGTGCTCAGACCTCAGGTGCATTTCCACATGCTGGAAAAAGTCATGATCCTGAGGGGACAAGAAGCAGTAAGGGAACAGTTTGCTACACACTTCTGTTGCCCTCACGCCAAGGCAAGATGCCCACCAGCTAGTTCAAGGAGTAAACGTTTTTCTCTGTGCTCCTGCAGCAAAGTCAGAGCACACAACGAACACAGGCTTGGTGCTCTGAGCAGCACTGATGCGTGATCAGTAGTTTACAGGCTACACAGCCCTACACAGAAAGCAGGC